GGGACCAACCGAAAGGTCGTGGAAATTAATTTTAGTAATACCCTATTTCCTTGTCCCTCTTACAATCATTTCAGCAGAAAGAATATGGGGGAACGAAAAGGCTTTCCTGGGCGCAAAAATCGCAAGCGCAAAGCAGAAAACGTGCGTCGTCGTAATCAGAAAAAGAGCGGAGCCATACAGGGACAGGGAAGGGGCGCCGCCCGGGTGCTTCGCACAGGGCGAAAGTTTACCTAAGGCTTAACTTTGGCGCCCCTCATAAGCATAACGATTAAAGGAAAAAACGAGTTGTTCGGTGATGAGTTTATGGAACAGTTCATTGTTTGTTAAAAAAACTAAACAAACCAACAACATAGGTAATAAAATTATGTTTTTTTCTTTAATGATTTTACGTATAACGGGCGCCAAAATTAAGCTCGCACGTGGCGCCAGCAACCGGCCATGTTGGCGTATCGGTCTTACAGTATTACAATAAATGGACCAGACAGAAGTCCTTCGTTCATAATCTCTCTGCCAGTGCATCGAATGATTTGTTCTTATTGTATTGTATTGTGATAGTTAGCGTAACAAGGACGCGGGTTCCTTGTGGGCCAGCGGTGTTCTGTGCCAGGCACCCCCCCCCCCCCCCCCCAAAAAAAAATTAAAAAATAAATTAAAAAATCAATAAACAAAAAAGACAAAGACAAATCAAAGACGTCAATATAGTTGTTCATTGTTTTTATTAGTGAGATATTTTGCGTGGGGAAATTGGCCGAACACCCCCGTGACACCGCTGTCGTGAGAACCCTTGTTTACTGGTTGACTCATTGGCCTATTCACGTTCCTGGTCAAATTTTAAAAAAAAGTAATAGTAAATAGTAAAATAGTAAAATTCACTAATCAGTGAGACACACACGCACATTCACTCTCAAAGCCCACCCACAAATAGTCTCTCACGTGAGAAAGAAAAACACAACAAATTAGACTCCAGACTAGCGACTCAAACTTCAGCTCCGCCTAACTCATTAGTTTAGCGCCGCCGTTTCTCGGAACCCTCTTGGAAGTGGCATGGCCTTGACCTGGGCCAAGGCTTTGACGTTCGTAGACAACAGGAGGTCAGAGCACCTGTTGATGGAAACAATGCGGTTATCCTGTGTGCATGCTTGTTCCACGTAACTACTGCCCAAAATACTCCAGAAACGAACCACTTAGTACTTGCTGATAATGCAACAAAAAGGTGCCTTTCCCATTTGAGCCTTCGGATATTTAAAAAAAATAATTTTTTTAGCTCTTCCTTATGATCGTTAGTCATATGTTGGACTGTTGATATCAAAAACAACAAAACATCTGTTTGTGTCATCTTGAATGAAATTGGTCAACAAAGATGGTATTTTTTCCACGCTCCGAAATTGGCTATCAGTGTTTTAAGGCTGTGGGCTGCTCTAGGACTTGTTGATTTGAGAACTAACCCAGATTATCTGTATAAATAAGGATGTCCTTCAGTATCTTCCTGTAGACCATGGGAAAGGTTCGATGGTTACTTATTGTGTCAGAGTTCTAATCCATTCGTTAGCTCATCGATGACGACATTCTGTTGTTAGATTTAGAGTCAGAACAGACATGATAATTCTATTTCTGCTAAATACTGATATTTGATAATTTAAAAAAAAAAAAAAAAAAAAAATTGTGTGTTCTTTTGAGGATACGTTCACAATGACAACATTCTGTTGTTAGATTTAGAGTCAGAACAGACATGATAATTCTATTTCTGCTAAATACTGATATTTGATAATTTAAAAAAAAAAAAAAAAAAAAAATTGTGTGTTCTTTTGAGGATACGTTCACTATCTGAGTAGATAAAGCCAATGGTCGAATTCTCTTGATCCAGGTGTGTTGATCATAAATCCATTTAGCAGGTCGGCGTGTGCGTTTAGGCTGTTGTCCTAAGAGGACCTGATATCAGCATTGTGTGGTGTCGTGGGACTTGACTATTGGTGGGTGGGAAGTGAACGATTTTTTTTTTCGGAGTGTGCATATTCCGATACAGACATTTGGGGTGTAGCATACCCCCACCCCCTCTCCCAAATCCCCGTTGACGTAAAAGAGTTGGTTTGATTACTTCCCTTTAAAATTGAAGCACTAAGAATCGGAATGTGATATCCAGATAATTCCAATTGAACGTCCTCCAGCGGGCGCTAACGACTTTTGAAAATGATTCACTATGATGGACTTTAGTTGTTTAATTTGAAGGTCGGTAGATGATATTTAAGGATTGGAAGTGTGAAAAACTTTGATGCGTTTCAGGTCTTTTAGAGGTGAAAGCTTCTGAGGCTGATTTCCTTAAACCGGACTTGAATGTGACTGAATTCTTTTAGAGGCGACAGTTTCGGCGGACCGCTTGTGGGAGCTGAAATAGTTAGTATCAGGCGATAGAATCTCTGAAAGAGGTAGCTAGGTTTGTTGGGCGTGTGTGTAAGATAAGTATCATAAAGACTCCAGGCTTGGCTCAGAACTCCAGGCTTGGCTCAGAACTCCAGGCTTGGTTCAGAACTTTAGGCTTGGCTCGGATAGAACCAACAGTCGTAAGTTTCTGGATTCTCACATTCGTAAGTTAAACTGTCATAAATAAGTAACACCTTATCTGTGTATATTGTAAGTATGTATGTATGTATGAGTGTGTTTGTGTTATCCTCACATATATGAGCCATAATTGAAGTAGCATCATGTCCGTTTTGTGAAGTCTTACCTCTTAGAATCTGTCGTATATTACCCAAATGTTGACAATGTTATCTTTCAATAAAACGGTTACCCGGTACCACAAAAGTTGGAATCTACCACATGCCCTAGAAAAGATATACGACAGAAATGTGATAATGGTAGTCTGCAAGATGATAATGGCAGTCAGAAAGATGATAATGACAGTTCGGAAGATGATAATGGCAGTCTGCAAGATGATAATGACAGTCTGAACGATGACCATGGCAGTCTGAAAGATGATAATGGCAGTCAGAACTATGATAATGGCAGTCTGAAAGATGATAACGGCAGTCCGAAAGCTGATCCTAGTAGTCTGAAAGATGTGAATTGAAAAGATAGTTGTAAGCCCCATTGTGTTGGGACTTTCTTTTTCCATTAATCACCTTTCCCTTGCGAGTTTTATTTGATCTACGCCTACGCCCGACGACGACACGGACTGGCTGTATCCAACGACGCCGCGCAGCTACAATCGTTGATTCAA